GCTTTTGCAATAATCACCTTCTCACAGTCAAACAGACTCATTTGCTAACAGATGTTCTTCCCAGTGACACACACTCAGGGAACACTTTGTGACAGCGGCTCTGCTGAAGAACGGTAGGCTCCGATGACATTATAAATGATCAAATATCTTCACCAACTCACCTTTAGAAAAGTCAGTCAAATTTCCATAGGCACATTTTGACAAGGAAATGCCTTCATTTTATCAGGCTTTCTCACTCAGGCTAACAAAGCACATTCTTATAACGGGCATACTATAACTATCTACTAAAAACAATTGCAGCATATATACCAGTAATCGAGTTTTTCTGGGGCTTCAGACTATACTGGAATACATTCATTTTAGTAGACATAATTGGAAGAACATTGAGGATTTTAAGGATTGAAATGTATACTTTCTCAAGGAAGCAGCAGCTGTGGCAGAACATGAAAGAATAGGATTTTATCCCCTTTTTTGTTTAAATAAGCAACTGATGATTTCTTTTTGTTTTTCATTCTGGAAATAATGAGTCTAGATACTAAATGTTAAATGAAAGTTAAAATGAAAAGTAAATTGAATTTGTTAGATATAACCCAACAAGTCCTACAGAATAAAACATTTATCACTATGAACATACTTCAGGGAGATCTTTAAAAATTACATTTCTGCATTCCAAAGGAATGACAAGCCTTTTTTACAGCTATGGCTGCTCTCAAACTCTTAAATAGTGAAAATGTTATTTTTTATTTTTGCCAATAAATTCAATAATTGCTCTGTTTACTACTTTTTAAAATCCTAACCCCATCCCATTCTTCCTACTGGTTCTCAACTTCTATTTGCCTGCTTAAGGTACCTTAAAACCAGAGAATTATTAAATTGCAAGGGACCACAGAGGTTAGTTCAGTTTCCTCTCATCCCTTTCATAGCACTCCTGATGAGAGCAATGTGTAACACCTGCCTGGTTTTCTCCAAAGATGAGGAGATCTTATAATCTCAGCTAATAAAGCACTGTTTTCAATAAAGCACTGATTGTTCGAGATAGAACAGAGGGCTTGAATTTTGAATCCCACATCTGCTTCTTTCTCATTCATGTGACTCTGAACGAGACATCCAGCTTCTACAATCTCAAATTCTCATTTGCACCACAGGAGCGTAATATCTCATGGAGTGGCTGAGAGGACAACATGACATAACATACATCAAAGTGCCTCGTGAGAAGTAGTTTCTCATTAAATATTACGTCCTTCTTGAAAGTTCATTCTTAAACTGAGATGAGATTTACAATGTTACTCTGTTACCTTCTGAAGCTACACAGAGTTAATCTTACCTCCTTGTAACCCACAACTGCCCTCTGAGCATGAGAAGAGAAGAATAACTAATAGAGGACGTTTTTTCAAACGACACCCACCACATTTCGCACGAGACAGTTACAGTAATGACTCGGAAAAGAGCAAAGCTAACCTTCATTAGGAAACTTACCAGGTCTGTACAGGGTTATCCAGTCCAGTCAACATTTACTAAGTGCTCACAATGTGCCAGAATCTATGCTAGTGGCTAGAGATTAATTAAGAGACAGCGCTCTTCCGCAGAAGTTTATAACCTTCTGAGAAATAGATGTATACTAACTAACGGATGCCTTATGCAGCTATACGCTAATAATTAAGTTATATATACCCTGCTCTGTGAGTAAAAATGCAAAACCACGCAGGAGGCATCTGGGGTGGGTCCTCCACAGGTGACAATTGTTAAAAACTCAGTCTTGAGAATACTCACTCACTCACTCACTCAGCAAACATTCATTCAAGACCTTCTATGTGCCAGGCATTATACTAGGTGCTGGGAGTACAAAGGTGAGAGAGGGGGAATCCCTACCGTCATGTAGTTTAGACTATAATTTATGATTACTCCAGTTCAGTAGAATAATTATTTTAGTATATTCTAAGAATAATTTCAACTTTCCCATGTGCCACATGAATGGATAAGCAGCTTTTTGGGTTATGGAATCCCAGGCTTTTAAAGTTGGAGATCTTGTTGTACCCCTGCTCGATCTAAAATCCTAGAAACAAGCAAACAAACACACTTTTTTTTAAAGTTTGTGTTTTCCCCTTCCCATGCTGCCAAGCTAAGCACATTGTGTGAGTAATCTGTGAGAGGATTCCAAACAGCTAAGACCAACAGCCAACGTCTGGGGATATGCCAGGGACTGCCCAGCTGTATCAGAAAGGCTGGAAGTAGGAAATTCAGTTAAAGTTGGGTCAGGGGAGGAAGACGAGGTCAAAAGAGCACACCTGAGAGTCAGAGCTACTGATGGGGAGGGGAGGGAGGGAAAGGGAGGTGAAGAGAGGGGAGGCAAGGGGAGGGGGCAGGGTGAGGCGGCTTTGTCTCCTCCTCATACGACCTACCAACAAAGTGTGTTACGTACAGTGTTCAACTGCAGAAGCTTTCTCTGTAACTCTGTGGAGGGCTTACAAAATGCTAGGCGAAGTGGGAAAAGCCTTGTTCTTGGCTATTAATTTTAATAAGTATTCCCAGGAATAACAGATACAAAATTAAGAAGGGAAGTTATAACACATAATCAAAACTCTTCATGATAGCAATTCAATTTGGGGACGTGAGTGTACTCATGATAGGCTTTCTTTTTGGTATGAGTCCTACTATACCACACAAAGCATACTGAGAAAGCACACAATCATTTGATGTGTGCAAGAGGAGTTGTATGAAGTTGAAGAAATTGCTAATGCCGCACTCCAGCCAAATTAAAATGAAGATGGCAAACGCCGGTGTCACTTATCCAAAGGCAACACTGTGGTGCGGCAGAAAGAGTCCCAACCCTGTGTTGGAACTGCAGGCGCAGAGACAATCAGTGTCTGGAAGATCACGAGGTGCGAGGCTGGGACTCAAACAGCGAGGCTGCCTTCCTCCTCAGAGCTTCAAAACCCTGTCTGCTCCTGCCAGGACATGGGCTTTCTTCTGATGGCCACTACCCCATCATCCACTGCGGTGGACGGAAAGGGGGACTAACTGAACGCTACAGAATACTTTTCAGATCAACTGTTTTCATGCCTTCCCCATCAATTATCAATACAAATCAGAGCTAAAAACAGAAAAACCAAGTGCCTTGAATTTCTCTTCCTTTTTCTCCCCTAAGCTTTAATCTTTCAAGAAATTTTTACTTGTAGTAATCTAATTTCATTCTAGACTCATAAAGTCTACATGTTGAGACAGAGAACATGTGTGTCTTGTTCACACAGTGGGAATTCAATCAATCTTTGCTGAGTGGAAAGATGAATTAATTCACGGAAAGGAGGCAACAGCTCTTTCTGAAACATGGATTGTGAAGCCAAAAGAGTTAAATACCTTGCCTGATTTATACCATATTTATGGTATAGGAGGGTCTAGAATCCAGGTTTCCCACACCCTGTGCCTGGCAATTACCACAATACCATCCACAAACATCTACATTAATCCAAACCTAAGAGAACTCAAGGTAAGGCAAGGTAGAAATAAACAGACACTGGGCCTACCTAAAAGGCATTCAACAACATTTCCTTTCCTTTACAGTCACTGCTATTCTTAAGAAACTCAGCGTTTGTGGAAGAGCGCCAGGCATGATTATTATTGTCAGCTTGGTAAGAATATAACGAAAGAGGAACATGTCCAGCTGTAAGGAATACAAAGAGAAAAGATAGAGGCTGCATCCTTCCCCGCTGAACAGCAAAACGGTGAAACTGGCTATTCTAGAATCTATCTGTTAAATACAATTCACTGAGCCCCCAGTAGGCACTCTCTGCCAAGCATAAAGGATAAAAGCTCTCCATCCGTGCTCTTCCAGAAGTCGCAGTCTAGAACAGAGGGAGACATGTCACCACTGTAGCAATGCTCAGTAGGTCAGCTCCTACCTCCTCTGAATTTCCCTAGTACAGCTGACCTAAGTCTAGAAGGACAAATAGGAGAGATGAAGTGAGACGAGCACTCGAGGCAGAGAAAGCAGCACGAGCAAAGGTCTGGAAGCCTAAGAGGACACAGCACATTGAGGGAACTACAAAAAGTTCAGTAGGTCCAGGACAAAGACTTAGATCTTTCCAGTGGCTGCAGGTGAAGATGGAGAGGTTGTCTGTGGCCCAGGGGATGACGGCAACCTTCCAGACACTGTGCAAAAAGCTCTCCTAGCAAGAGACCTCCGTTAAAGTACAACAGGAAAAACTCTTGTTCTTGCATCGTAGCCCTGTCCCTGCTTCCCCTTCTTTGACAACAGTTCCCATAGTCTTTCTTTAATACTTTGAATTACTAATATGAAACATCTATCCACTACTCATTTTCTTATTTTATGGTCAACTAGGAAGTTATAGTAAGACTCTCAGGGAATTTGCACTGTATTCTTGTTCAAGAATTCTTCCTCCCTTCCCCCAGCCCAGTTTTCATGGTTATATTTTCTTTCTCTTATGTTAAGTAAGTCTATGAACCGTATCAAAGAATCATTGAATGGTAAATGGAAAACTAACTGATTTGCATTAACTTAAAAAATTGGGAACTTTGTTTTCTTCACTGAAAAGAATTTCAGTAAGAATCCATATTCAGTAGCAGAGATTAAGAGGAAACACTTAAGGGCAAAAACAGCTCAGTATATGTAGGCAATTATGTTTTATACGATTGAATTACTCAGAGGCAACCTGGAGTGGAATATGAAAGAACGCTGCATTAAAATCCTGGAAGAGCTTGATAACACATCTCCCTGCCCCTAGTCTTGAACCTTCCCGTCACCCAAATTCATCTTCTCTATCTTAGATGGAAGCTATTCAATCAAAGAAGTTATATTTTTTTCCATTTTTTTGTACCTCTAGTACCAAGTACTTATTTAGCACTCAATAAATGTTTGCTGAACTAAGGTGGGAAGATTCAAGATCTAAAACACAGTGAGGGAAGGTCCTTGGTCACACACCTAATGCTGTGTCTGAACGGGGTCAATCCGATCACCCAAGCTGTTGTGGGACTCCTTCACTTACATAATCTCCATAGGTCTCTTGTGTTGGGGGTGGCGGTGGAGGTCTGTACCCAGTTGGGGGGACTCCTCTTGCTCGGGGAGTGAGCAGTCCTCTTCCCCGACTCACTGGCCCTCGGGTGGAAAGGACTCCCCTGGAGGTTGGCGTCCCGCGTGGCACACCGACTCCAACTGGCCGGGCTGTGACTCCTCCCCTTCCCCTGCAAGCAAGAGGGGCAAGTTAGCAATATACAGCATGTTCTTTAAGATTCCATCGTTCCATGCACAAATACTCAGAAAAATCAACGTTCCATATTCTGTAAAAGGAAATAAGGAAACTATATGCAGACTAAAAACTAAAGCAAATGAGAAACAGGTATCTACCAAAAGGAAGTTAAGTCACGTAGGCAGCTAGTCCAGCAATAACAAACATGGTACCATGGTACCATCAAAGAAATCAAGACAGTTTCTGGGTGGGATACAGAATAGCAAGTTATGGCATCTGGGAAGGCTGCATCTACCGAGGACTTCTCTATAATGCCACTCAAGGGTCACATCCAACCTTCACTCCAACACTACGAAATGGGCCTTACTTTGCTTGTTGATGGACAAGGAAACTGAGTCCTAGAGAGATCTTAAAACCATCTGAGAACACACAGCGAGCAAAGCCAGGGACCAAAATACATGCCAGAGTTCCATGAGAGAGAGAACAAAATGTACTTTCCCAAATAACATATATACTACCTAGTAATTTAAAATACCATTCTTAAGGTAAACACAGATATTTTCTGAGTTGAATTCAACATATTCATGTATTTCTAACACAAAATATGAGACTTCAAGTCAGAGAGGAAGGAAGGAGGCAGCTGTATCAAGAATAGCTCAAGATAAGCAAAAACTTGAGAAAATGTGCAAGTCCTATGAAGAAAGAAGGACAGAAAAATGCAGCTCTTCCACAGAATAAAGGCACAGGCTGATCCACGTCCCACAGACAACGTGCCCCAAATAAGGAAAAGCACAGCAGACGACGTGGCTGCCTACACTTCCGTTACTTCCTGAGTCTTTAGTTTGACTGGACAGCAAATACACAGTCAAAAATCTAATTTCCAAAAACAAGAGAGAAAATTAACAAAATTCAAAACCAGTCCTTTGACAGGATGGATTAAACTGATAAACCTTTAGACAGACTAAACAAGGAAAAAATAATATCAGAAATGAAAAAGGGGTCATCACTGTTGATCTCAAGGACATTAAAGGATAACAAAGACTATGAACAACTCTAGGCCCACACATTTGTTAACTTAGATGAACTAGATTTTGAAATATACAGATGACCGAACTGCACACAAGGAGAATTAAGCAATCTGAATAAACTTACATCTATTAAATAAATATAACAATCAATAATATTCCAAAAAAGAAAGCAGCAGACCCAGATGGTTTCACTAGTAAATTCTATCAAATATCGAAAGAAGAAATGATATCAGTTCTCCACAGTCTCCTCCAGAAAAGAAAATCAGAGGGAACGTTTCCTAAGTCATTCCATGAGGCTGGTCACTGGACTGCCTCCTGAGCAGTATTTCTACATTACTAGTCAGAGGCTGGGATTGGCCAGGCTCAGCCAGGGAGGACAGAAGAGACTGGCCTCCACGTGGTCTTGAGCCCCGCTGGAGATCTGTTGTAGAAGGCACTTCCCAAGACTTTTTTTCTAAGTCCCACTCTGGGAACCATGACTGGCCAAGGGGTCTGGGGGGACCAGGAGGCCTGAGGAGGGTGCCATGTGGCTGGCCTAGCTGCTCTCTGACCTCCCCAGGAAGAGACATGTGGTCCAAAGGGGAACAGGACAAGGCTTTCGAATAACCAAAGACATTAGATAAAGATACTATAAAATGAAAAAAACTATAAATTAATATCTCCTGTGAACAAAGATGCAAAAATCTTCAAAAGTAGTAGCAAACTGAATCCAACAATGTATTACAAAATTATACATGACCAAGTCAGATTTATTCCAGGTATGTAACGTTGGTTCAACATTAGAAAATCAACGTGTTCCACCAAATCAACAAGGTTTAACAAGAAAAATGACATGATCACAAAGAGCAGAAAAGCATCTAAAAAAATGCAACACCATTCATCATAAAAACTATCAGCAAACTAGGAATAGAGGGAAATTTTCTCCAGTTGAAAAAGAACATCTAAAAAACCTACATCTTATATCATATAGAATGGTGAGAAACTGGATGCTTTCCTCTTAAGACTGGGAACAAGGCAAGGATGTCCACTCTTACTACTCGTATTCAAATTTTACTGGAAGTCTTACCTAATTTAACAAGACAAGAAAAGCAAAGAACACTTATAAGACTCTGGAGAAAGAAATAAAACATTGTTTGCAGGTGGCATCATTCCTATGTAAAAATTCTCAAAGAATTGACCACAAGAAAACAAAATAAAGCAAGCAAACAAACAAGCAAACCACTCCTAGAACTAATAAACACCTAAAACAACGTCTCAGAACACAGTTAGTAAGTCAACTGCTTTCTTATATAACAGCAATGAACAATTGAAATTTGAAATTAAAACACGATAGCAATACTTGCTTTGGCAGGATATGTACGAAAATTGGAATGATACAGAAAAGATTAGCATGGTTCCTGCTAAAGGATGACATGCATATTTGTGAATCGTTCCATACTGTTCAATGCAGGTGTAGGCGGAGGAGGCATGTGGGAAATCTCTGTATCTTCCTCTCAATTTTGCTGTGAACCTAAAATTGTTCTTAAAAAAAAAAGCCTTTAAAAAAACACACACAGTAACATTTACTAAAGCAAGAAAAGAACTGAAATGTTCTGGCACAAATCTAACAACATATGTACAGAAACTCTATGTAGAAAATTATAAAACTCTGATGAAGAAATGAAAGGAGAAATATTCCATGTTCATGGTGATAAGAGTCAATATTGTTAAGCTGCCAATTCTTCCCAACTTGATCTACAGACAAGGGAATCCCAATCAAAATCCCAGAGAACGACAAACATATTCTAAAGAACACATGGAAAGGCAAAAGACCGAGAATAGAAACACAATATTGCAGAAGGAAAATGTTGGAGGACTTGTGATATCTGATTTCAAGACTTACTATAAAGCTACAGTAATCAAGACTGAGTATTGGTGAAAAAATAGACACGCAGACCAATGGAACAAAAGAGAGAGCCCAGAAACTGATCCACAGAAATACAGTCAAGTGATCACTGACAAAGGAGCAAAGACAACTCAGTGGAGGACAACAGTATCCAACAAATGGTGCTGAATAATGGACAGCCATACGCAAAAAAGAACCTACACACAGACCTTACATCTTTTACAAAAATCAACTCAAAACGGATTTTAGACCTAAATGTAAAGTATACAACTTAAAGAAGAAAATATAGGATAAATCTATGTGAGCTTGGTTTGATGATGAGTTTTTAGAAACAATATGTAAAGCATAATCCATGGAATAAAAACTGGTAAGTTGGACTTCATTAAAATTAAAGACTTCTACTCTGAGAAGAACAAATACAGTACACGAAGAACTTTTAAAACTCAACAATAAGAAAACAAACAACTCAATTAAAAAAATGGGCAAAAGACTTGAACAGACAACTCACCAAAGAAGATACATGGGTGGTAAATAACCAAATGAAAAGATGCTTAACATCATTTGTCATTAGGGAATCGCAAATTAAAACATACCTTCTACTGGGATGACTAAAAGCAAAGGTAACAATATACCAACTGATACCGAGGATGTGGAGAAAAACAAACTCAATTCACTGCTGGTAGGTATGCAGAACAGATAGACACTCAGGAAGACAGTCTAGCAGTTTCTTACACAGCTAAACATAGTCTTACCATATAATCCAGCAATTCTATCCTTAGGCATTTAACCAACTGATTTGAAAACTTACTTCCACACAAAAACCTGCACATGAATGTTTATAGCAGCTTTATTCATAGTCGCTAAAACTACCAAGATTCCCTTGAAAAGGTGAATGGATAAGCAAGTTAAAGTACATTTATACAATGGGATATTATTCAGTAATAAAAAGAAATGAGCTAACAATCCATGAAAAGAGATGGATGAATCTAAAATGACTGTTTCTGAGTGAAAGAAATTGTCTGAGAAGGCTACATATGGGAAAAGAAAAAAACATAGAGATGGGTTAAAAAAAAAAATCAGTGGTTTACATAGGTTCAGGGGAGGAGGGAAGGTCGAAGAGGTGAAGCAGTAGGAATATTTTAGGGTGATGAATCTATTCTGTATGATATTGAAATGGTGGACATGTAACAAAAAGCACTTGTGAAAACCCACAGAACTTTATAGTACAAAGAGTAAACTTTAATGTATGCAAACTAAAAAATATATACATTATTTACGAAATCAAGAGCTCCCAGGACGGAATGTTGAATGTGACAAAACGTTTTAACCATATGAAAAACACAGGAAACAACCTTACTGAAGGAGTTCGGAAGAAAAGTAAGTAAATTTAGAAATGAGTGAAGTTTTTAAGGCTAAAGGCAAAAGAACCTGTACACAGCACTGCTCTAGTTGATAAAGTTATTTCTCCTGGGGAAGGGTGCAGGTAACATTAATGATTCTGATACCACCATGCATGTATACAGGAACTGAACAATTAAATAAATGGATGGTGGACAGTGGGAGCACATTTCTCGTGTTGGAGAGAAGGTTATAGACAAGTAAGTAGAAGAGGCTAAAATGATCAGTATGGTAACGACTGGAATTGAAGACATCAATACAAACGCTTGACTGGTTTACATTGATACAGATTTTAAACAGAAATACGCATGGATACGTTTTTATACAGATGGTTAATCACAGAAATATGCACAGATATGTTTACACATGGGTTAGCATACACACATATATTCCCTTGCTCTGTTGGTTGAGAGGGCCTAGAAGCAAGGACATGCCAGTAGTAACAAGCACCCAGATCTTGGTTTCTAATACCATTCAACAATAAAAGAAATGAAGGTTCCTGGGAGAAATGGCTGATTCTAGGACTGGAGCAGGAAATATACAAGATGAAGCTGGAGCAACTTGTAGTGTTAGAAATTAAGGAAGTAAAAATAAATAAGTAAATAAATAATAAATAAAAAAGCACAAATTATGGGGGTATGTGAAAGAAGCAGAGGAGGCAAGTGAAACAACTCCAATGGCCAAAGCTGAAATAATTTGAGCAAGAAAATAAAGTAGTATTAGATTTTAACCCACTGTATAGAATATACTTCCAAGAGTCTATACTGATACAAATTAAGTGATTTACTTAATAAATGGGAGAGAAGAGAAAAATCTTCCAAATAATTTATGTAGTTATTCCATGCTCCAGGGGAAAAACAAAGAAGTGAACCTTTACAGTGGAGTAATAAGTACCAGCTCAGCCAGATTACAAGGTAATGTCAACAGTGGTAAGTCACGTAATAGCACCCTTGGTAGGATGTGATGACGATGACATTTTACCTAGGTGGTTTTTGTTCCCCAAACTCATAATCCCAGGCTAATCATGAGAAAAATATTAGAAAAATCCCAAATGAGGGACATCTTACAAAAAGCCTGACCAGTACTTTTCCAAACTCTCAAGATCATCAAAAAGAAGCAAAATCTAAGATTTTCACCCTTATGCAACTTGTATTAACCCTTTTATGAGTATTGTATGTTAGGTCTTTTTTTTCTATCCTAAGCCATAAAAATTGGCACCGTAAAAGATGTGGTCAAGAGTAAGGGTACTGGTATAAGATCTGAACTCAATTCCTGACAGTACTTACTTGCTTAACTTCTGTCTTCCAGTTAACATTCAAACTAATCAAGAGCCTAAACTTTCCAAGCCAGTTTCCTCAATTGTGAAATGGGATATGAGCCTATTTCGAAGTATTATTACAAAGGAAAAATGACACAGGACATATATTTAGCACATCTCCTACTCAATGAAGATCAACAATATATATATAAATTTCAATCACTCTAAATTGTACTGACAGATGTTATAATTTCTATAGTGTTTTACTCATGTTTTTTATCTCAGTATATATCCAGAAAAATATTCAATGTGATTAGAGGAAAAAGTAGTTTTTACTTATAGTACATCTAACCCCTTTGTGATATTTCAGTTAATCTGTGTGTATTCAAACTAGTTAAGGCCCCTGCTTCCTCTAATATCCCATCCCTGCCGTCCAAGGTACGACATGGACCACAAAATATTCAACATGCTTTTTGAACATATAACTTTATGTCTTTCAATTTTATGTAAGACATAAATTTATATATTCAAGAAGCTCATAATTCTTTCAATTTTATGAAAGACATAAATTTATATATTCAAGAAGCTCATAACTCTTTCAATTTTATGAAAGACATAAATTTATATATTCAAGAAGCTCAGAATTCTTTCCCATCAACATTATTAGCTCACGTGCCCACTGGGTGTATGAAATCATCCTAAGGTATCCGTCATAGAATTCTAGACAAGTCATCTGATATATGTAGCTCCAGATACTTAACTATAAAACATGCTTTGAAGATTGATTTTTAAGGGTTTGAAATTCCACAGGAATGGTGTTAAGCAGCATAGTATTAGTATTGTTTTAAATGATACTCTGGTGAGAGGAAGGCATGATGGAGAGTGACATGCTAACATAAAAATCCTGTCATATTGCAAAGTATTCATTGAATGCTACAAAATGAAGTTCAGGGTAAAGTTGAACAGCTGGACCGATAACATGGGGCTTTTTTCTGAAAAAAAAAAAGAGTCTGTTAGATGACATTTATAATGATAATTAATAGTTTTTTGGGGGTTTTTTTAATGAGAAAAGTTAATTCAAATTGACAGGATTAGGATGCTACACAACTCAGAACGAGGATAATGGAAAAGCAGAAAGATAACACATCTGCGTAGCAAGTTTCATAAGCAGAGGAATGGATATGATTGTAGTTGTTCTTTCTGTTTGCATTTTTCAGCAGGGTAATCATGGTTTCTGGTTTTGAAACTCAGATATGAAAATAATCCAGAAAAGTTTTTATAGTGAATAGCTATTTTTGTGGGAATAGAGCTTTGAATGACTGAATTTAAAAAGTCATTGACTAATCAAGAACTAATTATTTAGTTTATAGATTAATAAGAGGTTTTAGGATATGATGAAAAAGTATATGCTTCGGGTTCCAACAAACCACACACAAATCCGGTTCTGTTACTTAGTTGCTGAGCAACTCTAACTCCATTTACAGTTTTCCAATCTGTAAACCGGCTTAATAACATCTAGCTCTTAGTTAGTTGTGAAGTTTACACACAGGGTATATAAGGTGCCTCCCCTAGAACAAGCAGTCAGTAAGTGGTAATTATCAATGTGGTCTTCTACTCAGACTCTGTCCTGACACTTTCCTTTTGGCTGCTTACTGAAGGGTGAGGAGAGAGAGCAGACAGAAGGTACAACTCACTCAGTTCTCACCTGATGCATTTAACAAGAGCACATTTATATACATTCTATACATTTAGCAACAGTAGCACTGATTAGCAGAGTAAGAGTAGAAACATACATATACTACATTGTTTGACTTTTGTCTATAAATTTTATGAGAAGTGAAAAGTATAAAGTAAATCAATGAATTTGGTAGCAGAAGCCCTGAATTCTCAGGCTCGCTCCA